CGGAAGTCTGCCGGCGGGCCAGGCCGTCGAGCTGACAGGTCACAACACGGCGACGCTGAGGACGACGACGGCGATGACGGCAACGACGACGACGACGACGACGGCCACGACGAAGACGACGCCTGACGGCCACGACGACCGCCGACGACCACGACACCCGCCGATGACCACGACGCCCGCCGACGACCACGACCACGACGACCCACGACGACGACCGCCGCTGTCCATGACAACGGTGCCGACGCCGACGCCGTCGCAGCCAGCGCTGGCGCGGGCCCACGGCATCGGTGCTGGCCGCAGCCGGGGCGGGTGCGCGCCCGCGGCGGGCGTGCGCGCGCGCGCGCGCGCGCTCCTGGCCACCGCCGCGGAGCAGGCCGGAGATCCACTGGCGCAGCTCGCGCAGCTCCCGCAGCACGGCGCCCACGGACTCCACGCCTGGGCTCGGCCCCCCTCGTGCTCTTGTGTCCTCCTGCGCCGCCTCTGAGCCTCCTCCATCTCTTGGTCCTCCGCCTCGACCTCGTTCCTGCCCCTCCGCGTCCTCGTCTCCCCCCCCCTCCTCCGCCATTTTCTCGCTCTTTCCACGGAGGTCACGATCACGGCGGCGCGCCGAGGACGAGAAGCTCTTTCTCCAGCTGCTGCTGCTCCTGCTCTTGCTGCTGGTCCTCCTCCTCCTCCTGCTCCTGCTTCGTCCCTCTCCTCGGCTTAGGGCTGCGGTGCTGACAGCCTTCCTGGCGCATGCGTGCGCGCCATCATTAAGCAGGGGCCCAGGTTGCGATACCGTGGCCATCATGAGCGGGTTTTCCAACCGACGTTCGTCAGATAACGAGAAGCGGATCGGGCACATTTCGAAGAGAAAACGGCATAAACACAAACTTTTGGCGCTCCGCGCGAATTTCTTGGATCCGAGCAGGACCCCCCTCCCTGGCGCGCGGAGCGCGCCAGGGGCGGCGCTGGAGGCGCTGGGGGGGCCCAGCGCGGATCCAAGAAATCCGCGTGGAGCTCCAACTTCTTGGTGCTTCCCTTCGTTCATGGTGCTTTCCTTCTTCGAACATTTGCCCTTCCCCACCGCCCGCCAGATCGGTGCCTCTCCTTCCTGGCTGCGCCCCCGGCGCCGCCCATCGCGCCCTTCGCGACCAAGCCGAGAGGTGCCCAGCGCCGACCCACGAACTCCGCGCGCACCCACGAGATCTTACTTTCCCCAATCAAGGCTTGCTCTACGGGGTTCTCGCTTGGCTTTTGTTGAGTGATTGGCTCGGTTTTCCTGGTTTTCGCCCGTTTCGCCGCCCATCGACGCCTCGCGTGGTGGCTGCGTCTTCTGGGTCTTCGTCCTGTAGCCGTGCGTCGCCACCTCGCCACCGTCTCTTGTGCTGGCTGGGTTTGTCCTGGGTTTCGCCTGGTCGCCGCTTCGACGCCTTCTCGTGTGCTGGCCAGGGTTTTGCAGGTTTTCGCCCTGATTCAAACTTGGTGCGACCAGGAGGTTCATGTTCCAGGTGGCCAGGCAATCCAATAATCTGGCGTACATTCTTGGTTTTCTTGGAATGGAATACGTAAATGTGTGGCGCTCACTTCCCAAAAAACAATCAAGGGTTGTGCGCGCAGGATGTTCGTAGTTCTGGTTGCCAGAGCATGAGGAGGAGAGAAGAGGATGTGAAGAGGAGTCGGATGAGGATGAATCTGATGATGATGAGGATCGGAGGGATACCAATACCCGCTCATGGTCGGCCATGCTCCTCCTTCCCTCCCTTTTCCCCCCTCCTCCCCCCTCATCTCTCCCTCCTCGTCATTATCCCTTCTTCTTCTTCTCCTCCTCCTCTTCCTCCTCCTCGAAGCTGCGGACAGGGGGGTCTCCTCAGACGCAGCTCTACTCCCCCAGTGCGGCTGGCGCGGCTCGAGGACGCGGACGGTCTCAGCCCTCGGGCAGCGCGCCTGTAAAACGGGAGACGCAGCGGGGGAGGGAGGCGGTAAGCATACCACCTGCACGCGGGGATCACCGAGGAGCTGCTGGCGGCGGCGGCGGGTGGGGCCCAAGCGCGCGGAGATCTGCCCCCCCTCCATCCCGAGAGGAGGCATCAGCTCTGCCCCGGCGCGCTCCTCCGCTCTTTGAGCGAGGCACCGCTGGACCCTCCTCCTCCTCCTCCTCCTCCTCCTGCTCCTCCTCCTCCTCCTCCTCTTCCTCCTGCTCCTCCCCATCCTCCCCCTACTCGTCAGGACCCTCCTCCTTCTCCTCCTCCTCCTCCTCGTCCTCGTCCTCGTCTTCGCCCTCCTCCTGGACCTCGTCCGTGTCGTCGTCCTCCAGCGCCTCCCCCTCCTCCTCCTCCTCCTCCTCCTCCTCCTCCTCCTCCTCCTCCTCTTTCCCTCCTCCTCCTCCTTCTCCTCGCTGTCCTCGCCGTCGTCGACCTCCTCGTCGACCTCGTCCTCGTCCTCGTCGTCGCCGTGCTCGTGTGGCCGTCGTCCTCGCCGTCGCCCCTCGCCCTCCTCCCGCTGCGGCCGGCGACGGCGCCTACGCAGCGCTCCGGCAGTCCGCAGAGCGCCGAGGGAGACGAGAGCTTGGGGAAGGACTTGGGCTCCGCGACGGGCGCCTAGGCGGGAGGAGGACTTCGAGGAATGAGGAATGATGGTGATGTTGTTGATGGTGACGCTGCTGATGATGGTGATGCTGATTATGCAGATGAGTCGGATTCTGATGGTGACGATGATATTGCTGCTGCTGCTGCTGCTGATGATGATGATGATGATGATGATGATGATGATGATGCTAGTGGTGGTGATGGCGACACTGATGATGATGACGACGGTGTGGTGATGATGCTGCTATCAATAATAAAAGCAATGAGGATGATGCTTATGATGATGATGATGATGATGATGATGATGATGATGAGGATTACGGGGATGCTGATGGTAATGTTGGTGACACTGGTGTTGATGATGATGACGGCGATTATGATGCTGTTGTTGATTGTGGTGGCGATGCTGATACATTTCTATATGCTTTCTCTTGTTTTGTGAGGTTGTTGAGCCTCTAATAAAAAACGGCTGTGTGTCCTCCTGCGAAGTGCCATTTTGTTTTTCTAAGTTGAAGTCTTCATCCTAGTTTTTGCAAAAAGGGAAATATTGCGCCTCGAACTGTGCCCGTGGCCCCTGGTTTGCAGCAACAGCGGCTCCCGCGTGATACTTTTTACAATCGATTGAAAAGTTGGGCTGTCGCTAGAGACGTCCTTGCAATTTATGAAGGAATCGCACTCTCTCCTGATACGTCCGTATAATTAATCATTGGATCGTTTCTTGGTGCTCTGGAACCGCGCTCTCGCTCGAGACTTCCTCATATTTGACTAAAGAAATCCGCGCTGTCGCTGGAAGCTTCCTTGTCATCTCCTCTTGCCAATTCCTCTTGCTACCTTTTCGTCCTCTATCCTCACCATCCATCCCCATGTCCCCTTCCCTCCTCGCTCCGTTCCTCCACTCCATTCCTCCTCGCTCCCTCGCGGTTTCATTTTTTCTTTTCTTCCTGTTTCAACTGCGGCGACAATTTCATGTGGCAGGACACGTCAACGGGGCTCGTGTGATTAACACAAAAGCTTCACTGCTCAGGCGAATCGCGGGGTGGTGCCCGCCAAATTGAAACGCAACGTGGCGGCGCCGGTGATTAGTGCCGACGCCCGACCGCCAGCGAAAAGGCGACAGGAGCAGAACGGACTGGGGGAATGGGCGGGGGGGGCGGGAGGCAAGGGCGGCATAGTCAGGGGCCATCGGCGCCGCCACCGCCGCGTGTTTCGCAATGGAACGGGGCTCCCGTCGCCGCGATGGAAGCGGGCCCTGAAGGAAGCGGGCCCCGAAACCTTGAAGTTCCCGCCAGGACCAGCTCGGTCGTTCTCCGGCTGCCTCGGGGCCCGCCGAAGGCATGGAGGTTCGAAAGCGGAAAAAACCTGCCAGGGCCCACCTTCCGTAGGACACACGTCCACCGCGGCGCCCCGCCAGCCAGGCTCCTCCTCCTTCTCCTCCTCCTCCGCTTATTCCTCGTCGTTCAGGCCGTTTACCATCATCCGCGGCGCCCCTGGCGCGCGTGAAAAAAAAATCGCACCCCGCGAGGTCCATTCATCAGCCCCGGGGGGTCCATCATTTGTTAATCGCAAGTTGACATTGCATAGTGAATGGCACGCGAGCAGATAAGAGCGAACAGTCTTAACATGATTGAGTTCCCATTCCCAACGAATAATTAGCGCGACCAGACGGGCCATCGTTTCGCATGTTTTCTGGATGTTCGTCTCCCTCCCACTTCCCAAGTTTTCACATATTTTCCCGGGGACCGACGATTCATTGTGTCTGTGTCTGTTCCCCTCTGGCGCGCGGGACAAGAGTGCTCTGGCCCTGTGGCTACCACAATTCGGAGGCGAGCGATGGGGGGGCGGTGGGAAGGAGAAGGCCTCCCCAGAAGGCGGGACTTCTCCAGGAGGAGGCGGAGGAGGAGGAGGAGGAGGAGGAGGAGGAGGAGGAGGGGGAGAAGGAGGGGGACTTTTCAGAGGCCTTCCGGCCTCCTGAAACACGTTTTCTGTCTTAGGGGAAGGCTCAGAACACTTCTCAGAAGGCCGGGGGACTTCCGAACCTTCTGATGAGGCCTTCTCCTTCTCTCACTTCCCCCCCTCGCTCGCCGCCGAATACCACCAGGCGCGCAAGCCGCTGCTGTCGCATCGCATTCGGCAATCGGGGCGCCACTTGGGGCCCACACCAACAAGTCACTTCGGCGAAGGGCCACTCCGACGTGCAGCCAGCCAGTGTGCCGCGCGGAAGATCCGGACGTGCCAGAGGGCGCGGGCCCGGACGGCCCCGCCCGCAGCCTCTCCAGACCCCCGACGTCGTGATCTTTTCGCGACGTGACCCCCAGAAGCCTAGACCCCTTCCTGGGAATCATTTTTTTTTTTGTTTGTTGTTCTTTTGTTTTGTTTGTCATCCCGAGCCGTTTTTTGACGACTCCGAGGCCCGGCGAGGGCCCCCGGAGGCCGAAAATAACGAAATACTTCCGGTCGTGATTGTCTCACGACGCGAGGGGGTTTGGGTTTGTAGAAGCTTCCTAAATGGGGTCCGAAAAGATGGGGTCGGAGGATCTCGCCGTACCGCCGATACATCGCGGATGCCTCGCCGATGCAGCGGCCATGCATCGGCGGTGCACTGTCGACGTCGGGAATGGCGACCCTCGGCGTGGAGAAAAATGAAGCCTCCAGAGGCCGTAAGAGCCCCCCTAGAGGCTGAAAGTAGCGAAAAACTTACCGTTGCGATTCCCAGAGATCCGATGCCGTGTCTTTTTCAATGACGAGTAACCGGAAGTCTCGAAGCATTCCCCAGGACAAGATTTTGATCATGTTTTTTGTGTTTGATGGTCCCAAGGCTCAGCGAGGACCTCTAAAGACCGAGCGTTGCGAAAAACATCCGTCTTGATTTTTCAATACGTTGGATCTCTGTTTTTTCACGACGCGACGGGGTCTGGGTCCTCTGGACGAGACGGCTGGCCGGCAGAGCGCGTAGGAAAAGCAAGAGGAGAAAATGGGGGAGGAGGAGGAGGAGGATGAGGAGGAGGAGGAAGATGAGGAGGAGGAAGAGACGGATGAGGAGGAGGAGGAGGAGGGGAGGAGGAGGAGGAGGATGAGGAGGAGGATGAGGAGGAGGAGGAGGAGGAGGAAGAGGATGAGGAGAGGAGGAGGAGGAGGAGGAGGAGGAGGAGAGGAGGAGGAGGAGGAGGAGGAGGAGGAGGAGAGAGGAGGAGGAGGAGGAGGAGGAGGAGGAGGAGGAGGAGGGGGGGAGGAGGAGGAGGAGGAGGAGGAGGAGGATGAGGAGGAGGAGGAGGAGGAGGAGGAGGAGGGGGAGGAGGAGGAGGAGGAGGAGGAGGAGGAGGAGGATGGAGGATGGAGGAGGAGGAGGAGGAGCAGGAGGAGGATGAGGATGGGGGAGGAGGAGGAGGAGGAGGATAATGGAATGGAATGGAATGGGCTCCATCGCGGTGCGATACGAAAGGAAGGGAAACGAACTACGAGGCCTTCGCTCGGTTCGAAACCTTCGAAACCTGATCCTTGGGATATCTCCCAAGCTCGAGATTGGTGAGGTATCGTCTCCGAGCCGTGCTGAGAGGCTTGGAACACGGCTCGGCGAGGCTACTGCTGAGCTTCTCACCTCCGAAGAAACCGCAAGTGCTGCGTATCCATATTCGGTGGGCAGGGGCATACACAAGCTGATGGGACGGGTGAACCCAGCCCCCCCCTATATGAACCTGCTTCCCCCTCGGCAACTGAAGCTTGTCGGACCCTGCGGCAATCAACTCGAAACACGAGGAACGCAACCACGCGGTGAGGGCCTCCTGGGACGACTGACCACGACATCGCAAACATCTAGTGCCTTTGCTGTCGAGGCAGTGCTGGGAGGCAAACAGTGCAATGGAGGAGGGAGCGGGAGGGGGTGGCGGCCTTGTCGTACAGGTACGGCTGGGGCTCGGACGAACTGTCATCGCCTCGAGCGTCGAACGTAACAACCTCCGACGAACCAAGCTGGCGTCCACCTCCGTTCTCATGGCCCGTGACCGAATCTCTTGCGAGAGCCGACATTTTTTCGCAGCAATGCTAGCGAACTCATCTGCTGTGTGATTTCCAAGAACCAAGAATTCAGGGAAGTCCGAGCCTGGGATCTGATCAGCTTCGATATGGGATGGTACTTGAATGACACATACCTGCGACTGGTCGCGAAACTGCATCTCCTGGCCTACGAGCTTCCAGATATTCGCATTGGCTCCCTGGGGAACCTTCCAGAATACCTGATACCACACGTCAGCTACTCCACTGTTGTCTGTGACGTACACCAAGGGCCCTCGAGAGTGCCTGAGCGCCATCAGTAAACCCCAGATCTCACCCCTCGGTACAGACTGTATAACACCAGGCAGAGGACCAAAGATAGCAGACCCGACGTGGGGCCCCTCGAAATCGCTAATGACCACTGCTGACACTCCGACACGCCGTAGCCGTCGGTCACGAGAATCTGCGCCTCCGCTGGCGTCTCCAAACACCACTAGAGGTTCGCCTGCGTGGCCGTCTCCGAGCGCGTGCTCGTCGAACGGCGCACCTAACGCTGAGAAAAACTCCCACGCCTCATCGGCGCTGGGAGCTGGCACCTGGGTCCAAGAACTCGGAATGAGACCTCGAAACCAAAAGCGCGGTTCAGAATCTTGGCCCGACTGGGCCCTGGGGAGTAAATGGTCCGAATCAGTGCAGATTTTGTGACCAGAATTGCTAGGGCACGTCCACCCCCTGTGGAGTGGTGTTTCACTACCCTGGCCAAACCTGGGGCACGTATCGTCACTGATGGCACCAGTCTCGTCCTTCACCCTGGATAGAGGCCACGTCCCCCCGATGGCCACGCGCAGGAGGGTCTCCGAGAGCTTGGTCCCATGCGGAACTCCACTAAGAACTTTAAGTAACTGCCTAAGCGATTCACTGTCAACCCCGTCTTGTAATCCTTCACCGCAAAAATGCTTGGATGCTTTTCTTCCCAAAGCTGGGCACGAATACTCCCCTCAAACTCAGTGAGCAAACCACTAATG